TCATTTTTACACCTTTTGTCACCTTTAAATCGAAATAGCGCAAATAGAAAACCAAAATTAAAAAAAGCAAGTCCGACATTTTGTGCGCCTTTTGTAGGGGCATTTATCTTGATCTATCAGATTTGCAACAAAATTGGAGTTTTTAGCAAAATTGCGTCACATCCGGTGCCGATAGAAAACTTTACCGGTAATAAAAAAATTGAGAATTTGCACCATGGAGCATATGAACTTTGTTTTATAAAAATCGGGCAATAAATAATTAACCTAGAACCGATAAACTGAATTAGCCAATAGCGACCAAGAAAAATTATCGAGACAAAAAATGTTCACATTTTTGATCAAATCAGACGACCCCTTAACCCTGGGTAAAATGCCATAAAAAATTATTCATTAATAAAAAAGTTTTTTTGTCAAAATTAAATTTTCAAAATTTTGGCGCCTAATATCTCCAAAGATTCGTCGAAAATCAAAAATCTAAACTACCGTAGCTATGTGCCCTGTCTCAGGCTATGTCAAAATGTATCCAATGTTTAAATCCGACGATTATTGTTAATATTACTGCAATATTTCAAAAAACGACAACTTTGGCGTTTCGGACATTTCACATAGTCGCAGAACGTTCGAAATAGATTTAATCTCTTTCCCAGTAAAACCGAAGATATCGAATTGATCCGACAAGTAGTTTCTGAGATATGCTCAAGTGGAAAAAAAAATAATAAGAAGAATAATCTTAACAAAACAATAGTGTTTCGAACAAGCTACGTAGTGTGAAACCCTAACTAGAACTGCGACGCAGTAATGACGGGTTTCACCGGTGCCCCATTACCCTTGAACATATGTCACATCCGGTACCGATGAAACCATTAAACAGGTTTCCATGTAAGCATTTCACACATCAAATAAAATGTACGCAGAATCAATCGAATCCGGCAATATCAATTCATTGTATACATTTGTTACATGTAAGTGATCCTGACAAAATTACATTACTTCCGGTGATAATGAAAATTCTAAATTAGTTTTATGAAATCATAAATGGCATAAGGCATCACATGGTGAAAATTTTTAAGTAAATCGAATAATAAAACCGTACAAGTTAGAAACCATTTTGTGGTATCTGTATGATCGTGTGGCTTTAATCTATTTGTTGATGGGAATCAAATATCATAATTTTAAAAACAATACAAATCAGACTCATTTGAATAAAATATCTGTTTTGATGGCTAAAAATACAGTTTTTGCCAAAATGACGTTACTTCCGGTGACAGAAAAAGTGTTAAATTACCTGTATAAATCGTAAATGGCATTAGGTATCACACACTGGAAATTTTATGAAAATCGCATAATAATTGACACTTTTATGGACCAAAAACCTTGAAAAGTTACCTGTTGAAAATCGTCTATTTCTCTGCAACTGAACAAGTTAGAAACCATTTTGTGATATCTAACATTACGGCAAAATATCGAAAAACGACAACTTCGGCGATTTCGGACATTTCGCATTGTCGCAGAACGTTGGAAATAGATTTAAAATTTAAGTCAAACCCATTTTCCCAGTAAAACCGAAGACATCGAATCGATCCGACAAGTAGTTTCTGAGATATGCTCAAATGGAAAAATAATAATAATAATAATAACTAGAACTGCGACGCAGTAATGACGGGTTTCACTGGTGCCACGTTACCCTTGAACTTATGTCACATTCGGTACCAATGAAACCTTTAAACAGATTTCAACGTAAGCATTGCACACGTGTTATGAAATGGACGCAGAATCAACCAAATCCAGCAATATCAATTCCATTTATACATTTTTTACCATGCGTTAGATATGTCAAAAATGTGATCCTGACAATTTATTACTAACTTACCACTAAGTTAGCTGACTATCTAATGGGAACTTAAAATGTGAAAGAAGTCTTAAAAAGGGATCCTGACAAAATTGGTTATTTCTCGACAAAGAAAGATGGTAGAAGCAATTTTTGGATATCAATATGATCGTATTGATCCAATCTATATCTCCATTGGAATCAAATATCATAATGTTAAACGAATAATAAATATAACTCACTTCAAAAAATATTTGTTTTGAAGGCTAAAAATACAGTTTTTGCCAAAACGACATTACTTCCGGTGATAATGAAAATGTTAAATTAGTTCCATGAAATCATAAATGGCATCAGGCATCACATGGTGAAAATTTTATGAAAATCAAATAATAATTGACACTTTTATAGACCAAAAACCTTGAAAAGTGACTTGTAGAAAATCGTCTATTTCTCTGCAACCGTAAAAGGTAGAAACCTTTGTGGTATCTGTATGATCGTATTGATTCATTCTATTTGTTGATTGCAATTAAATGTCATAAATTTAAAAACATTACAAATCAGACTCCTCTGAAAAAAATATCTGTTTTGAAGGCTATAAATACAGTTTTTGCCCATATGACGCCATTTCCGGTGACACTGAAAATGTAAAATGGATCGGCCCAGTCAAAAATGGCATTAGGCATCATATGGTGAAAAAAAAGAAAATCGGATTAAATTAACTCTTTTACAGGCAAAATAACGTGAAAAGTGACTCATGCAAAATTGCCTATTTCTCGGCAACTGCTAATATTACAAACTAATTTTGACATAAATTGTCATCGTATGGATTAATGCAAGTTGTCAAGAAATATTTTAAAATATGAAAAATCTGAATGCATTGTAAATAGCTCATTTTTACACCTTTTTCAGCTTTAAATCAAAATGATGGAAATGCAAAACCGAAATAAAAAAACAAAACAAAGCAAGACATATTTTGCTTCTTTAGTATGAGCATTCATCTTGATCTATTAGATTAATATTTGCTTTTTAAAAGACCTTTCGACACGTCAAAATTGAAGTTTTGGGCAAAATTACGTCACTTCCGGTGCCGTCAGAAACTTTTATATGTAGAAGTAAGTTGAGAATTTGCACCAGGTGGGCTTTTCTTTTACACAAATCAGGCAATAAATAATTAACCCAGAACCCATACACTGAAATTAAAATGCGAAAAATCTTAAAAATTGATCCTGACAAAATTGGTTATTTCTCGGCAAGGGAAGGTGTTAGAAACAATTTTGTGATATCAGTATGATCGTATTGATTGATACTATTTGTCCATAGGAATCAAATATCATAATTTTACACCAATAATGAATATCGCTTACTTCAAACAATTACTTGTTTTAGAGGCTAAAAATACAGTTTTTGACAAACTGACGGTACTTCCGGTGAAAATGAAAATACTAAATTACTTGTATGAAATCGTAAATGGCATTAGGTATCACACAGTGAAATTTTATGAAAATCGAATAATAATCGCCACTTTTATGGACCAAAAACTTTGAAAAGTGACCTGCTGAAAATCGCTTATTTCTCCGCAACTGAACAAGTTAGAAACCATGTTGTGATATCTATATGATCGTATGGGATCATTCTATTAGTTGATGGGAATCAAATATCATAATTTTAAAAACAATACAAATCAGGCTCATTTGAATAAAATATCTGTTTTGATGGCTAAAAATACAGTTTTTGCCAAAATGACGTTACTTCCGGTGACAGAAAAAGTGTTAAATTACTTGTATAAAATCGTAAATGGCATTAGGTATCACACACTGGAAATTTTATGAAAATCGAATAATAATTGACACATTTATGGACCAAAAACCTTGAAAAGTTACCTGTTGAAAATCGTATATTTCTCCGCAACTGAACAAGTTAGAAACTATTTTGTGATATCTATATGATCGTATGGGTTCATTCTATTAGTTGATTGGAATCAAATATCAAAATTCTAAACAAATAACAAATACGACTCGTTTGAATAAATTACTGGTTTGAAGGCTATAAATACATTTTTTGCCCAAATTATGTCATTTCCGGTGACATTGAAAATGTTAAATTCGTTTGACCTAGTAAAAATTGACATTACGCATCAAATGGTGTCACTTTTATGAAAATCGAATAATAATTGACTCTTTTACAGGCAAACTAGCGTAAAAGGGACTTATGCAAAATTGCCCATTTCTCGGCAACTGCTTATATTACAAACTAATTTTCACATACATTCTCTTCGTATGGATTATTGCTACTAGTTTATGAAAGTTGCGAAAAAATATATTAAAATATGAAAAGCCTGAATGGGTTGTAAATAGCTCATTTTTTCACCCTTTTTCACCTTTAAGTTGCCGAAAGGAAAATGTACCGTAACAAAAAAAATGACATTTTGGACCACGGGGCATATGAACTTTGGTTTATACAAATCGAACAATAAATAATTAATCCAGGACTGAAAAACTAAATTAGCCAATGGGGGCCAAGGAAAAATATGGTGACAAAAAATGTTGCAATTTTTGGTCAAATCAGATGACTCTTGAACCCTGGGTAAAATACCACATAAAAATATTCATTAATAAAAAAGTTTTTCGTAAAAATTTAAATTTTCAAAATTAAGCGCCTAATATCTCCGAAGATTCGTCGAAAATAAAAAATCTAAAGAACCGTAGCTATGTGCCTTGTCTCTGGCTATGTCAAAATGTATCCAATGTTAAAATCCAACGATTATTGTTAATATTACGGCAATATTTCGAAAAACAATAACTTCGACGATTTCGGACATTTCGCATTGTCGCAGAACGTTCGAAATAGCTTTAATCTCTAAGTCACACCCACTTTCCCAGTAAAACCGAAGACATCGAATCAATCCGACAAGTAGTTTCTTAGATACAATCAAAATGGAATAAGAAAAATAATAATAATAAGAATAATAATAAGAATAATCTTAACAAAAACAATAGTGTTTCACACAACCTACGCAGTGTGAAACCCTAATAATCTAACAAAAACAATAGTGTTTCACACAAGCTACGCAGTGTGAAACCCTAATAAGAATAATAATCCGAACAAAAACAATAGTGTCTCACACTGGCTACGCAGTGTGAAACCCTAAATAATTTCAGAAACTGGTAAGTGGATGGATGCAGGATACTTTTGTTGTCTGTGGCTGAAAAAATGCCTGCAGTTTTATTTGACATTTCTGAAGAACTAAGAAACCAACATCCAATCCAACCCCCATATCCAACCTTAACTGCACCAGATTGGTGTTCCTATGACAGATGTGGAGATATGCCAACAGATATTGAGAAGCTATGTTGCGGTATCAGACCAGAGAATTGTATTTCATTACCACCAGTAAGTGATTTATTTCTGTAATAATATCCTTTGATATATTTCATCCACAAACATTAATGTCATTGGCCTGGGTAGTACCGGCAGCAGGAAGTTCTGCAGCCTTCATTTCAGTCACTTTAAATTGGCTGGTTTACTGAAAATAGATTTTAAAAATAGTTAAATATACATTATGCAAGAGCTAAATATGCCTATTGTAGGTCTTTCTTTAGGCCTGAAATGTTATACAAACTATTAATTAGACATTAATTAACGTATCCTGACCATAATCAACACTCGATGTCAATGCTAACCTGCGATATTTGTTGGATTATGATCCGATTTGCTGCATAACTTCCCTTTTCGATTTAACGATTAAATGGATAATCGAGACTGATTTTTGTCGTACCGACTTTAGTAATGATGACCAAGGCTATGCGGAACTTTCGATCACTTATTTTCAGCAAATTGCCTTTACATTATTTAGTTTTTAACTATTATAGTGAGAACTGCCAACTCGTTATCTTATCTCGCATAATGTGTCTTTAATTTAATTTTTTCAGGAGTTTGAACAATATTGTTTAGAGCCACAAGTTCTGGATCTTGCTAATGTATATAGAAACGGTGTACTAGCAATTGATATGGACGAAGACATTAATCAAAGGAGAAGACAATTTGTTATGTGGTGGTACAGGGAATAGAGTAGTAGTACCCTCCTGTTGTGTTCTGAAAATAGGATTATCGTTTCAAGACAGAAATGGCATGGGTTTTAATCCAAGACGATTATTATGAAAATACTTACATTAAAATCTGGTTTTCTGTTTCTTGGCTGTCTCTGAAGTTGGTTCTGGTTGGGGTTTTGCAACTGTGTCTGCAATCTTTCGAGGACCATCCTGGTCTAGTTTTCATTTTAGCCCCGATTTGCCTTTATCATCGAGTCTGGCCCTATAAAGATAGTAAATTCAAGACATCAAAATTGTTCCAGGATGGTTTGGCAATTAATACAAATTCTTGTTTCGTGTGGGGCTAATTTTTACAAAGATTGTAGACATTTCAGGAGGCCTGTTCTTTCCCTTGTCTGCATCAGTACTACAAAAACAAAATTAGTTGTAATAATTGGTACTATCATGTATAAAAGTGACGATATCCTCACCAGTATGTTAATGATGAAAGTGTCTGGTACTTGACCAACAACTAAGATTTTCACAGCGTTGGAAAAATATTGTGACAAAAAATAAGGTGTAGTAATAATGGATATAATTCAAAGTGAATGAAACAATAATGTCACTGAGACAATAATGTCACTGAATAATTCGAAACAGTGATCAAATTGTTATTGTTATTAATATATAAATAACATATTAAAAATTCATATATTAAAAGTTGTGTTTGTGTTTTTTCATATAACCCTCATTTTTAAATTTATGGGATGAAACGACCCTATACAGTATAAGTAAGATGAAACACAACCCTATATAAGTGGAATGAAACGACCGATGTAATTTTGGGATGAAACAGCCCAGGGTGATCTACATGTAACATAATTGTCAAAAAAAAATTAATCAGGTGCTGTACAAATATTACCTGCCATGAATGGATGATAGTTCTGAAACATGCAGTGCTCCAGCATTTGAAGGTACACTAATTCCGCCAATAGCTGAAAAAATAAATACATTCACCAGTCATTCATCAAAAAATTGTCTGTTAATATTAGTTATTATACAAGATAGTAAAAGAAAACCTTACAATAATTAAATTTAAATTCAGGTTACTAATAAACCATAGCTCATATGAGATAGTCAACCATCTAGATTAAAGTACAGTAGCTAAGTCTCTAACCCAATATCACCCAAAGTCTGACACAAATTATTTGTCAATTTAAATCGACATTGATGTTGTGATTTTACCGGGAAAAGATGGGCTTCTGACATCCAATATTTAAGACAAAATGAACATTTTACATGTTTACCATTTGTAACAAGGGACTCGAATAACAGGGCTAGACATATTCCACAAGTCAGGACGGTGACCCCATAGGTGGAGAGCCTGCGTAATAAATAGATTGCCGCCCCATTGATACTTCTGGGGCAATTCGTCGAACATAACTGATTAGAATTTACAGTAAAAACAGAAATGATTGAATGTAAATTGTAAATCAGTTTATATATATGTACACATATATTACATTATTATTAACGTTGCGACCCATTTGTGTCAATTTCTAGGTCCCATATATTAGCGATTTAAACAATGGTAAAGAAATAGAAACAATATTTCACATCTTTTATAAAATGAAATGGCGTTTAACGTCCTACTGTTCTGCCCCGAACTGGGCTAATGAAGACGGGCATACGCCATACAGTGTGCTATGAGGGAAATTTTGCCTGGACAGCGGCACTACGGCCTACTCTTATATCGAATTGCAACTGTAAAGTGATCTTTTATGAGCAGGCCAATGTGTACACGGGACCTCAGTTTTCCTTTCCCTCGAACGACTAGACAGCTGTCCTTATCAGGCCCTCTGTCCTGCATCACTGACAATGGGGAACCACGTCGGAAATTCTGGATGAACTTTCTCGGTAAATGCAAGGATCGAACACCCGACCTCTGGTCTAGCGAGCCAGCGTCTTGCCCAAATAGCTACCGTGATCCCCACATAATATTCAGAATCAGTAATATTTTTCAAAACGAAACGTTTCCCATTCCAATGGTAATAATAAGCTGAATATAGATTCTCATAAAAATATATTTTTTTGCAAATTAGGCCTACCTGTCCAATAAAGGCTTTGCTATTTCTTGGTGAGTCTCTTTTTTCAGTTTCTCCTTCAATTCGTACCACGGTTAATTAGACTTGTCAATCGAAGGGAAAAAAATCACACTGTTCGAACTCGCGGACAATACATGTAGTCAATAGATAGATAGAGATCTAGCTGATTGACACCTCTACGTGTATATACAATTCAGGCTAATTAGACCTAAGACGGACTGTCTAGAATGTTATTAATAAGTTTGAATTAATTGTGTGGTAATCCAAGCCATATTAATCCCCATTTCCTTTCACATTCCCGTTGATATTACGTATTTATTTATTTGCGACAATAAACCGCGCAACACTTGAGGATATCCCCCTTATGACATCGTGGAAAGCTATTTTTAGAACAGGAAGTCAATCAAATCTGGATTTTATTACCTCCCTTGATAGAAATGGCTCTTAGATTATTTGAATCGTCTGACGTTAGACGATTCAACTGGATTGGGACTTAAAAAATACTTTCGAACCCTTTGGACAAGTAAAATAGGATTTAATGGATAATTAACACATCAGGTAAGACACTAACACATCTAGTACTTAAAATAAGGCTATTTTTCTATTTTCTGGAGCTGTCAAGTCAGCCAGAGTGTTATTGTCCCTTTTAAACTCGTTTCAAACATGACTGAAATGTCTGCACCGGAGTCAATTTTAAATGTACAGATTGCCCTTTAATTTCCAAATCAACATTCCAAGCTGGCTCGCAATTATCATTACAGTAAACACTTCACTAAACCTAAAAATCCACATGCCTTGTTATAATCACTGGACATTATTGTCTGATAAACCCCACTATCACAGGTGTGCGCGTCTATGCTTGAAACGTTGTTGCCAGGTGACTGCAAGCGTGCATTATTGGCTTGTATTTCTCTTATATGTTCTACATCGAATAGCGAAATGTCCCATTTTCCCACATTTTCGACATATTGCTCCCTCAGCTTGGCATCCATCACCTTGCCGGTGTCTTCTATTGCATCGGGTACAGTTTTTATGAACAAAAGCGTTTCCATTATTTGACTCACGATAATATCTATGCTTTTTTTGTTGTGGAAATCTGTAATAACTATTTGAAAATCCCCGGTTAAACTGATTGACAGGTCTGTTCTGTTTATTAAAAGTACTCGAATCATAACTTCTATAACTATAATTATTATTTGGACGATGCTGTCTCTTTTCACGACCTACAGCATCAAGTTTTCGTCTCATTTCTGTCGTATCAAATCTATCACAAGTTCATTATTTCTCGCCAGATCAACAGCCTTTGTTAAATTTAAATCCGCTTCGATCTGTAATTTCTGCGATACCGACTTATCTGACAAACCAATTATAAATTGATCGCGAATTCTTTCTTCTTTATTATGAAATCCACAGTGTTCCGATAATTCGTACAAATGACGTAAAATAATTCAATATTTTCTCCTGATTTCTGCATACAATGATGGAATACTGATCTCTCAAAAATAATGTTTCTCTTGGGTATGATATAATCGTCAAATTTGGCTAGCACATCGTCATAATATTCTCCATCTTCCCCCGCAACTGCGGAAAATATTTTCAGCTTCATTGCCCATGGTGTAAATCAATGTACTAACCTGGACGTCACCCTCTTCTCTGTTTAATTTTGTAGCTAACCTGTACCTTGAAAATCTCTGTTTCCACTCGGGCCATTCGCTTGGTTTGTCAAAATGAAAATTCTGTGGAGGTAAAAACTTTGCCATTTTCTGTCTTCGTAATTAATTTCTTCTCGTCGACCTGTGTCACAATTCAATGTGCAACCATCACTAACCAGCTTTACATCATTCTAGGCCTATTATTACTATTTAACTCCAGCTTCTGACACCATATCAGATTCCAGTCGACCCAATGGCTCCTAATCAATTTATTTCCAACATGCAGTATGAACAACTATTCAAAGACTATCTTTATCTTTGAGCCGCCTTCTACAATTTCTCGCCAAATTATAGTCTATATGATGTTTATGTACATTATAGTAATATGACTAAATTTAATATCATACGGTGGCTGATTTAGGACACGCAAAAAAAAAATAATATCTCGTGCGCTCGAGATATTAAGTCGAGCGCTCGAGATACTAAGTCGAGCGCTCGAGATAGTTAAGTCGAGCGCTCGAGATAATTAAGTCGAGCGCTCGAGATAATTAAGTCGAGCGCTCGAGATACTACGTCTAGCGCTCGAGATAATACAATCGAACACGTCTCAATCGATGTTTTAAGTATGGAAGCGTATTTGGGTCACTACTTATTGAGATAATATCGCAACATATCGAACTAAAATATGTCAACTTCATGAGTTATATTACAACATATCGACTTAATAAAGTCGACTTGGCGCATTAAATTCACCACTCTTGTCGACAAAAGCTATATCGATATGTTTACATAATGTCAATAGCCGATTTGACTCTAAATCGACATGTCATGTTTTTATATAGAAATAATGTCGCTTTTTTACTTAATATCATCCCAACATTATTTAATTGAGCGCAAATAACCACAGCTGCCATTCTATCTGTGATTGTCGTTTGATTAACAACAAAATGTTTTTTTTACAGGCTACACTCTTTTACAGGTGAGTTTCGGGTTCATTATTTCTTAGTTTCAGCCATATTTACAAACTCCTGTAATTTAACTATGAGGGCTGAAAATATCCGAAATACATTTGAATCCCACCACCAACAGTTAAACTCGATCATAAACTTTTGATGAATGAATGAATGAAATAGGGTTTAACGTCCTACTTTTCTGCACCTAACGAGCTAATGAATTAAAAGACGGACAAATTCCATACAGTGTGCTATGAGGAAAATTTTGCTCGGACTGCGGTGCTACGGCCTATTCTTATATCGAATTCCAACTGTCAAGGGTTCTTTTCCGCACATGTCAACGT